ACACTCTTGTAGGAAACTCTTGTGGGACACTCTTGTAGGACACTCTTGTGGGACACTCTTATAGGACACTCTTGCGGGATACTCTTAAGGGACACTCTTGTGGGACACTCTCGTACGAAACTCTTGTGGGATACTCTTGTAGGACACTCTTGTGGGACACTCTTGTAGGACACTCTTGTGGGACACTCTTGTTGGGCACTCTTCGTACGAGACTTCCTCCAAAAGTCACACGTCAAGTCTCCAAAACGAGCGTTTCGTACGAGACTTCCTCCAAAACTCACATGTCAAAGTCTGCAAAACGAGCATTTCGTACGAGACTTCCTCCAAAAGTCAAGCGGAAACACCCATCGGAGCACACACATCACGCAGGCCTGCCAAGCAGTTTCGCGAGTCCAGCCCCTCCAAACAACACCCGTTCACACGCCAATCCCACTGTGACAGCGACATTCAGCCACGAATCTTTCCGCGTCCACACGTCTAACGCGCACAAAGTACTGCGCCTGCCACGAAATGTCACCTCCGTCACACCTCGCAACCTCACGATTCCCTGCGCCTGCGACGAAATATCACCTCATGTGAGCTTCAACAAAATTTGCACCACACCACACGTTTGGAATGATTTCGACCCGTTCTGAGCACACTCCCATCCACCAAAATCGGCATTTCAGCTGAGACTTGTCACGAAAACCGAGCTTCGATGCCACACCCTGAAACGCAAATCCTAATGGCATCCAACACCCCCAAAACAAGACTCTCCAAACGCTAATCCCAATGGAACTGCGCAGCAATCTGCAGATCTCACAAAACGCTGCGCCTGTGCAGCGAAACGCATCACGTTTCTTGCGCAACATGTCATTTTCATGCAAATCACAATGGAATAGCGGTGCAAACTGACACGTGACACATCCATGAAAAGTCACTTGCAAAAGCTTTCCCCAATGGCAGCGCTTTAGCGCTCTACTGCGAACGGTTGCGAACGGTTGCGGACGGTTGCGAACTTAGAAACAAACAACGGGTCACGAACAAGGCTCTACCCCCAGACCCCCAAGAGTTAAACGAGAACCCTTCGCTACGCATTCGGAAAAACAAGATGGCATTAGGAGAGGGGCGCAACAAAAAGAAGCTCTTAATTGCTTCTTGGACCTTGCTCTTGTGACTTGCCGATGCATCGGGTCTCCGGAGGTGATGGTCCTGTTCGATTCTATGAGGATCTGCAAGCTGAGCCCAGACCCTCGGCCGCAGTGCTGCCGTCGTTGGGCTGTGCATCGTTGGGCTGTGCCGCCAATGCCCGAAAAAGTCACCAGAAACGCTACAGTAGGACATGTCACATGATGTTGGAACCTCCTACAGTACAGTACGTTAGGACATGTTAGGACTTTCAAACACCCAACATGATTTCAAAGCCAGAGGAAGGCTCCTTCCGTGGCACTGCTTTGCAACATTTTGCAACTCTCCTGGCTCTTGGCCCTTTCTTTTCACCTGTTCCGGCTCCCAAGCTGAGTTCAGTGTTTCTTTTTGTGAAAAAAGATCGTGAGAATCTCAGAAGTTGGAGCGAGCACTTGTCCGAAGGAAGGCACAAAGGCTTCAAGGGGTGTCCAATGGAGGTCCCTTAGTGGTGCAGGGGCTTCCATTGGTGACCCCTTTGAAGGTGCTGATATATATATATATATATATAATATATTATATTATATACTGGTAGACAGAGAGACAACCGAGAGCCGTGGTGGAGACCATTTACAAAGGTATACCCTGCAGGCAGGAGACTAGCTTCCAACTTGCCTAAGACTCCACAGAAAGAAGGTCAACGCTTACCCTATCCTTCAAATCAAGCACCAAATAGAAACGCCTTCTGATGTGTCATTCCGCAATATCAGGCATTGCAATAAATTAAGGAAACGAGCAAGACGTTTGGGAGCCGCCCTTGACAGCAAACGCCATGACCGACACTCCATAATCAACATCAGTTCACAAAATTTTTGTAGAAGAGAACCCCGTGGCTTCACCTGTACAGGCGGAGAACCCCGTGCGACATAAACATTTAAAGAACTGTACAACGACAAGCGCCAGACAGTGACAAACATTGTAAACTGTACATAGCGCTCACACGCTTCATGTTAGTGGGAGTCATCCTGTTGGTACATGAGCCAGAGAAGGCTGTGCAGGTTGTTTCGCTCTACGAAGTGCGTCGCGAGTCATGAAGGCAATCGAAGAAAGACACAGAAGTCATGGTGCTGTATGGCGTTATGTGTGACAAGCATACACTGTCTCATCTCCCCGCATGCTTTCTTGATGCGGATCGTCAATGCTGGAGCCGAGAATCTGAGGATCGTTTGAGCTACAGCACTGCCATGAGTGCCTGTGAATCCTGGCAGAGGGTCTTGGAGTATCTTGGCTGCAGAGGGCCCAGAGGAAACTGGTCTTTGGGACTGGATTTTCAGACAAGCCGATTAATTTGTAGGGAAGAGGTAGGAGCCGGGAAGAGGTAAGAATTCTGCATTTGTTTGATCAGCTTCATTTTGCATGACAATCACACATATGTTAGCACAAAACATAGTTTTCATTTTTGCAAAACCAACCTGGTAATCCCGGTAAGCCTTATTGGTCGAGAACGAGAATTTGTTTAATGCGGCAATGCGAAGGACAGCCAAACACCCTGGTAGTGATTTACTTTAATAGATCGATTCCTCATTTCAACGCTCAGTCCAGAGACTTTGCATTGGATTGACATCAGTATGTTCAGAGACCTACTGGCGAGATTAAGTTCCTGGATTTGCAATTGCACGTGTTTATTTCTTCGTTGAGTTCCTGGAGAGATGCAGATATTCTGCGGGCTTTGCACGATAGATGGACCTAATTTCACTATCCTGGACGGGCCTGTTATTGTTTCTTCAGAGGCTTTCTTAGCAAACCCCTTTTGTTCAACCAACCAAACTTAAGCATAATTAAACCAACCACATTCAAGGTTGCTACTTCAACAACATATGTTGCACGGAATCCCAAAACAAACAACGCAGAAGTAGTCCTACAAAAATAATCCAAAGCCTTATTGCACTATAGAAATGATCGACTATCCTCCCAATGGATCCCTGCTAACTTGCTCCCCAAGCCTTCGAATCCGACCTCCTCCCGCTCCGACCTGTCCTACCTTGCACCATCTGTCATACCCATAGAAGGTGCAGCAGAACTGTTCCATCAAGAAGATGCAAGCTCAGGTCCCTGCAGAATATGCTGAAACTTGGTGTTGTGGACGTCACTAGCTGGAGCAGCCTCCTACAGACCTGCAGGGAGCAGCGGGAGGTTGGAGTGTCAATCATCGAGGCTGGGGCCTGGCTGGATTCAAACATGTCATGCGGGCAGCCTGCAGGGGCCTTCAGAACATGAAGACGAAAGAACGTGGTGCTGGTGAATTAGGTTCCTTCACATCACGTGTTTGATTGGTAGAATGCCTCATGCATCCTCATGCCTCACGAACGGCAAACGGTTGGCAGGGACGAAAGCAGACTGCAACATCACGTGATTCTGAACAGAAAGACTTTCATGTTGGACACGATTCGTGAGATGCAGGTCAACCATTGTTTGGATTCTTAGATCCTGTCAACCTGCAGGAATCGACTCGGCTTTGAGTCGACTCAAACACCGATTCGTGCCGCCGACGGAATCCCTCCCGTCCGCGGGTTCGGGTGTCGACTCAGGAGCCTCTAAGGATCGAATTCACCGGTGTGTTCCAGGAGTTCCAACTGAGAAAAAGGTGACAGCATGCGACAGCAAAATCTGTTACATGTAATTATATATATACACCGACCCTAGAAGAAATCCATAAAAAGCACTGCCAGTTGTATGTGTATGAAACATGGTTCAAAGTTCAACAAGTTTTTGTCGCTTTCTGTGTCGTTTAGGCGGGTGTGCATGTTGTCCTGTCTGAAACCCCTCAGCCCCCCGTTCTCCAGGCGCTTGGCATGTCCCAGCAAGACGTGGTGCTGACCAGTGCGACCATGGACTTTTGGGCGAGGATCCATCAATGGGCAAAGGCCTTGCAGCTGTTTACTGCAATGCCGCACGCCAGGATCAGGCCAGGAGAGTAGAGTCTTGACCCAGGGTCACGACGCAGGAAGACACATGGTTGTGTGAGCGCTGGGATAGCTTTTTTTTGATCCGGGGAGGTTTTTCAGATGCAACTGTGAAGCCGCACACATTGACAACTGCTTGGAGGGGACAGCTGGATACATTCCTCTTGGAACCGGGTCCAAAGTTGAGGCAATACCCCCAAGCATCCCAAAACACCTCCAACTCGTGTCCACTCCCTATCCACTCCGAGTAGGCCCAATGTCTCGGATTTCACCATGGCCATGCTTGCTTGCAGCCAAAGTCGCCTGTGGCAGCGGGCCTTGCAGCTCTTTCGGACACTCGGTGTTAGACCCTTCCGCTCGGAGATGTGACATGGTGACCAGGTGATTTCATGTTTATTCTGTTTGAATGACTGCTGATTGACAAAGTTTCCAGGAACGGATATGTTCAACATGGACTAAAGCCATTGTAATTGTAATTGGAGAGTCTCAGGCTCAGGGGGGAAATAGAGCTACTGGTCTTGATGAATCCCGCACATCTAATGCATATAATACAGAGTTTGTCCTATATTGCCAGTAACAGTTGGTAAACAATTAGCGCTATTTCACTCATCATCCTCATCCACTGTTACTGGTAATGGGAAAGACCCAACATAAAAATAGAAAAAAATACAATATCGAACACTATGTGAACAATTCTTTGGATCTCTCATCGTAGCAGCACCTTACAAAAAGAAAGCGCCAATCAACCGATCAGAAGACTTCCTTTGCAGGTCCTTTGCTTTCACCGGTCATTCACCATTTGAGACCATAGACGTACGGCTCACAGGAAGGAACTTGGGACCCACACTGCGACGGAACGGGCTGCAAAAGGCCTACGGTGGTGGGTGGCAGTCCACTGTTGGCTGCGCTGTTGCTTTAATCCAAGTCAAGAAAAGGCGATGCATCCTGTGGATTCCCAACCTCAATCACCCAAGCAATTGACATCAACGTGGAATGTCATAATGTGTTCAGTTGTTTTCATGTTTTTGTGATCTACTTGGCTTCGTGGAGCATTGAAAAACACATAGAGTGTCAACCGAGGTAAATGCCTTTTGGTTGATCTGTGGATCTTAGGAGACTTTGAACCTGGGGTTTGGTTGGCCCTGGTGAGTAGTTCTTGTCGCAACCACTAGTCCCTATAAAAGTTGTATAGTCATGAAGGGATGAATGTGGATGAATCCAAGTACTTCACATTTTGTCCTTTTGTCAGAGCATCACAAACACTACATAGACATATACAATTGGTTGCTCCTATCCCCAAACTCATACATGGTTACTGTTTCTTAAAGTTATTTGGTCGTCTTTGGTAACTAGAACTTCGTCGGACACCGGGATTGTGTCGGGGTACAGAGGCAGAACTGCCCCGCTGCCACCTTCTTCAGGAGAATGAAGGATGATTTGGAAGGGAACCTCAATATCATTGCCTACAACACAGCCATGGGGGCATCCTTGGATTTGCATCCATCCAGGACTTGTATTTAATGTGTTAATTTGTTTATGTTTCTCCTTTCCAGTGATTGGACGGTTTGTTGGCCGAAGTATCAAGAATCAAGACCTTTGTGACCAGCTGAAGTCCAAGTCATCGATGGTGTTTCAAGTCATGTCCGGGGTGTCCTCTCAATATCCATGCTTACTTTTTGAGTAAACAAATTTGATCCGATTTTGGACGGATTTTGACGGTGCAATCCCCACATGGATTGTCACGGAAGCGTCCTAGTGCTTGTCCGCAACGCAATGGACTCACTCATGTGAGGCATGTTCAAATGGCCAATGGTCTCAATGCTTAGAGCTCCTCCGTGACCTGTCGCGCGGCAAGCCGACAAACTGGATGGGGTGGCACGGTTCCCGTATTTCACACGCATGAACCCGCGCGGGGACTTCACCCGTCGGTCTGTCGGTCACGTTCTGGCTATAGATCGGACTCTTGAGAATGACAACTCCGGACATTCCGAGCACTTCAAGTGCTGTAGTAGACACTCAAACCATGGGCGAACGAGCCGGACGCCCGGACACCCTTGTGTCCTCAGCGGCTTCCCTCCGACTTGTGGACCCGAGCGACGTCGGTGACGAAGTGGACAGTTCGGGTGGAACAGCTGAAGGGCATCCGATGGGGAGGGTTAGAGTATGAAAAGGCTGAAAGCCAGGACTCAGGAGCAAGGGGCTAGTAGAACCAGATACCTGAAGTGCATTCATTACAGTTGAGGAGATGTGTGTAATTACTTTCGGGCACTTCCTAAATCTATTCCGAATAATTTGTTTTCAGATTCATCACGTCATGATGTGAGCGGCCTCCAAGTTCGGCTTCGCTGTAAGCGGAGCAACAGAAGCGACGGATTGTCCAATATAGGATATGCGAAGCCTAGGATATGGGAAGCTTAGGTTTGCAGCAACCTCAAGCAGATATGGAAGAATCCGTGCAACTGCCACCAGATGTCTATCAGTATTTCGGGCACTCACGATGTCTAGATCCTACAAACAGACCACTTTTTTCAGGCTCAGTTCATGCTGCCGCCATGCGTGACACACGGCGCACCAACACACAGAAACCCGAGGCATGAGACCCGAGTGTCGGCGAACCTGGCGAGCTTCATCTCGTGCATCGCTGCGTGCCAAGAGGAGGGACACCCGGCTGTTTTTTTTGCTAGAGCGACTGATCGACCCTTATATACGTATATATATATATATAATATATATATATAGACATACCTTTTTTTTGAAATCCGCTATGCTTTTTGCGTGTGGTTGAAAACCGGGTACTTCCCCCAAATCTCGCTTGCAGCAGTGAACGCCTGGGAGGTCTTCCTATTTGAGCTAGGTCCACACTTCGTGAGAACATCCTTGACCGATCAGTGGAGCATTTGGTCCAGTCCATCATTGGTTGGTGTAGTGGAAGATCCACAAGTAGAGGAGCACCTGGAGGGACTGCTCATGGGCATGTTTTCCATGGTGTTCTTTCGATTTGGAGGTCGAGACCTGGTGACCTCAGTCGAGTGACCTGGACTGAAGAGTCAGCCCAGTGGGCAGCCTAATGATTTAATAGCACACAAAGCCTTGGAGAAGGAACTTGCTGGTCCGGCATTTTTTTTGACCCTGCCCCACTTTCGCAATTCTCGAATTTCAATGTTTTTCTGTGTGCCTGGAGCGCATCCAAGGAGAGTGGGAAATGGCATGCAGCCGCTTGGATGAACTTGGATGCACTTACACTTTCACTTTTTGACGAGAAGGGTTCCACCATTTTGAGCAGAAAACAATTTGGTGGATAGGCACCTCATTCTTTCTGCAACTGGGCACTCTCAGAAGAACAGACTAGGGGTTATTCCAATCTCTCTGGTTTCTTGGCCGCTGCCGCTGCTTGAAACAACAATCCTTATTTTTCGATTTTGGCTGCAAGCTTAGGTAAGAAGGTATATATAATTCGGTAAGTAGATAAGAACTGACAAGCGATCAGAACTGATCTGTAGACAGGAACTTCGTAAGAACTGAGTCGACATCATGTCTCCGCACAGACCACCTGCCTGGGGGAGCTGGGCGTAGGCGTAGGTTCTCTCAAAGAAGATCCCTTTGGATCCCGGTGACCGCTCTCGATTTAAGACATGCGGAAACTCGAATAGGTCTATGTTTTTCATCCAGTGGAAATATGGACTCTAGATTCTCTATATAGAGATCATGCTTTCCTACCCTGCAGAGGTCTGTGTGGACAAGTATGGACAACATACTAAATGTACACACGAGATCGCACGAGAAGCAAACCGAGCACGAGCAGAAGCAAAAGCGATGGAAAACAACACAGTGCTGCGATGGCTGCTTTGTAAGACACTCTGATTTAGCTGACGAACCACTAAAAGGCCTGGGAAAGCTGCTGGTGGTCGAGGATGTTTGTGGGGGTGTTCAATTGGATTTTGATCCGTGTTATACCATATACTGTGTAACACTACCGCTATTTTGGAGCCTAACTAGGCAGATCATGTGCCATTTCTTTCTTGCTTGATTGTTCTTTCAGGCTTTCCGAATGTATTGGAGCCGGTTGGAACGAACTTCCACAACGATCCACGTCACGTGAACTGCTGTTTTTTGGGCCACACACGCAGTATAGTGGATTGAGAGTAGATGCCACAGACGTCAAGGAGTGATTTATATGAACCCCCATGATAGGACATCTTGAGGTCTGTGCCATCTATTCTGAAACCACACGAAACCACCGTAGATTGCTGTGTTTTGATAAGCTTTGTTTGTGGCTTTTGCTGCAATTCTTTTGGAACTTGGGACATCTCGGACATGGCACGGGTATGCACGGGTGGTTATTGACGCATGCAACCCAAGTTGTTTCCTGGGAATTTTGTTGCACCCCAACGATTGTTCAGTAGTTTTCCTGACGTTTATTGTTTGACATGAAACCCAAGTCTGTGCTTCAGTGGTCACGTCGTGAACATTCGAGGTCTTTTGTTCCAAGACATCATCCTCTCCAGTTTGAAGCCTGATGCTCGGCGGATTTCTGTCGTGCGTGGTGTGATGTGAGCTTGGTGGAACTGTTTGTGCAACATTTTTTTCGCGAGATGGGAGAGCGGACGATATCAACCTAGAACCTGCTTGACCTTTGTGTTGGAGGATCAATTGTCAAATTGTGTTTTCTGGCCTTTTCCTATCAAGAAGGAGGTCAAATGTGTTTGTTCTAGGCAAGTGCCACTGCTGACCCCAGACCTCCCAAGAAGCTGCGAGTCAAACGGTTGATCGATGGTCGGGGTCTTTTTATTAACAAACCATTGGAGGTGCTGGTCATTGATGTGTTCCTAGCAAGAACAACTCAGCCGTTGAATTTTGCTGAGTTCACCTTGGATGGGCTCCGCAACACGAGAAGTTGACAAAAGTGATTGAAGATTGGCATAGATATAATTAGGTTTCGAGTTATATGTGAGGCTGATGATGTACTCACCAAAAGCATACCTGATGCGCATCCCATAGCTTCCCCCCTTACACCAGTTCACCATCCATGTTGTGATCCGAACTGCCCGGGGCGCAGGAACCAAGCCCTAAGGCTCAAGGCTCACAATAGACCCTCGCAGATTGACCATCCCCAACTTCAGTGGGAAAGGAAACCAAGACAAGAACAACATAATTCGGACAATTGACGAGTTGAGGGGACCAATTCCCCATGGCAGTTGAGGAACACGAAAGTGATCAAAAGTGGGGAATCCGGGAATACAAATTGAGTATATAGTCGCAAGTGGGAAATGAATTCGGAGTACGAGTTGGGGAGGTTCATTCCCCATGGTAGTTTAATCCTCCAAATCCATTCCAAAATGCTCCAGCCACGCATCTATTTCTGGTGAAAGGCACATATCGGCATATTATGGATCCCTAGAGGGATAGGAACTGGGCAGGTGCATTGATGCTTCAGGATTGAAGTTGCAATGTGTTGGCCACAACAGGGAAGCCGGTTGTAGAAAGTAAGCCTGGACAGGTTTGTAGCATTCAACACGTCCGGTTTGCCAAACTGCCGTAAGATTCTTAAAGTGAAGAATTGAACAACATGTAAGCTGCCAGAGCGGATCAGAACTGTTTTTGGTTGTTTGTCATACGAGGACGATCCAGAATTGACCGCCACTTACAAAAGAGAGGTGGATCGAACTTCAATACCCCATGTTGCAAACTTAGCTTCGTCACCCAGATCACCATTCCCCTCAATGGGGTCACCGAGATGGACATGGAGTCCACGGGAAGTCGACATGCACTCCGTCCGCTGACTCGTCCGAGAACATCCTGTGCTATACCTTCGCAATGAATACATGCTTGCAAGCTCGACACTGGCAAGGTGCTTTGAGCACCTTTGCAAACTTGACGCTTGGCAGCGGACGTCCGTTAGTCACATGGATGATGAATGAATGTCAGACATGGAAGATCAGTAAAGGCTCCATGTAAACAATTATGTACTGTAGGAAAGTTCAGAGCTGAGATGAGCTGAGTCTAGAGAGCTATTTGATGCTATTATGAGATTGTTCTATATGAATTGTGTGTATACCGTTGGACCTCCTAGGGGCAGCACATCTGGCTCTGGCTATCACTCTCCAGGTCTGACAAAAGCAGGGCTCGACCATTGGGACTTAGAACACCATCTCTAAATCCCAGTCTTTTGGACCTGTGGTGGAATATCTCAATATCATGATGAAACGTTTGGAGCTGAGCACCTCGCCGCAGGTCGAACCAGACCCCTGAGATGACTTCGGCCGAGCCAGACCTGCTGACGTTCAAGATGGCCATTCGCGCTTGTGGGCTGGGCAGCGAGTGGAGCCGAGCCATCATCTACTTCGAGCGGATGATGGACATGCGCTTTGGCGCTGGAAAATAGCATGGTCTGGAGGATCTGGGGATTGGGATTTGGCGGAGATATGTCAAGTCCCAGAGGGGGAACTTGTCGGCCCTCTAGGTACAGGTGAAGCCTGTTTAAGAGGTTCTATCCAGTTTGAATTGGGACACTGATGTTTGCCAGTGCAGTGTGTACAATGAAGCGCTAATTGTAAGCACATCAGCGCGCAGGAAGAGGTTGCCACGTGACCTGCCATACGCAGACAGAAACCACACGTTGTGGGTGAACTTGAAGACTTTGTGGATCGTCAAGGAGGAGTTCCACCTGCAGACCACTGGCACAACCCAAGGTGCCTGAAACTTGTAGAGTTGTAGAGCCGGCCGCCCACTGGAGGAGTTCCACTCAGTGAACCGTTTGGGCGGCACAGCCAGCCTCTGGAGTTCTTACATCAAGAGCGATATCCGAGAGAGTCCTTGACGTCACTTCACATCAAGGATCCCAAAGGAAGTGGAGAGAAAAAGATCAGAAAGAAGCACCGAGTGAACAAAGATGAACAAAAAGAACCAATTCCGACAGAGGGCGAAGAAGAAATAACTCTTTGAAGAAGCTACCAGGTTGGAGGCCATCGCCATTAGGTTGCTGGAGGCCATCGCTAGTAACTAGTAGGTTGGAGACCATCGAGAGTAGGGTGGAGGCCATCGCTAGTAGTAGGGTGGAGGCCATCGCTATTAGGTTGGAGGCCATCGCTATTAGGTTGGAGGCCATCGCTATGAGGTTTGAGGCCATCACTATTAGGTTGGAGGCCATCGCTATTAGGTTGGAGGGAGGACATTGCTATTAGGTTGGCCTCCATCGTTAGTAGGGTGGAGGCCATCGCTACTAGTAGCTAGAAGCTACTAGTAACAAGGGCATACCAAAGAAAAGTCCTAGTATGGGGCGAGTCTTGGGGCTTCAAGCAAACGTGGCTTCAACCAGCTTTGGCGCGCCACTGGACCCTTTCGGAGTGGCGGTCAAGGGCCTAAGATGGTGTATGATGGTGTAAGTATCAGCAAGTAAGTGCTTTGGAAGCGACCTCCAATGATCTCCAAAAGTGTTTCCTTGGGATTTCTGAGTCCCCAATTCATTTGAGTCGAATTCATTTGCTCTTGCGCAGGGCAAGCGTCGAATAAAGAGGTAGAACAACCTCAAAATTGCCACCAATATCTCCAGGCACATAATATATATATATATATTATGCGTGCATGCCTACCTACCTACCTACCTACATACATACATACATACATACATACATACATACATACATACATAC